GGGGGGGGCTACTGTGAATGGAGGTCTGTGCCATTCTTGCTGGGAGAGTTGGCTGCGTTGATGGAGTTGAGGGCACTGTCGGCCTGCTGGCCATCTCTGCGGGGGGGCCTCCTCTCATTTATCCGGTCCAGGCCGCGCGCCTCTTCGAAGCTCCGGATCTTATGCTGGGGAGAAAAGCCCTGGATGGCTGCACCAGAACACACATACACAAGAGGGGGGGGAGGGAGAAAGACCATACAGAGTAAATGCAATAAGTTTCTTGAAAAGAGTGCAAAACTGTCCCGCTGGGTCACAAGCCATGTAACTCACAGACCCTAACTTATATGATGTTTCACTTTTCTCTCTTTCGACAGTCTAAGACCGATCTAAGAGCTCCAGCCCACCACAAAGCAAGTACGGCATCCGGTCCACCTTCTTGGGTCTAACATATTGCTCTTAGTGTTCGGAATCTATGCTGGGTGGAACATGACCCCTGTCCACTCTGATGGAACAAGCCAAACAACAATTCATAAAAGAGAGAAGAATCATGCAATTTATTCACCGATAAAGAACAGGTTGCAAGTGAGTTGAGCTGGGATACTTACCATTACTGTTCAAAATAAAACAGTAAGTCAAAGTAAGCAGTCAATAGCAACATTAAGACAAAATCATTGGGACCTAACACAGATGGGCAGGAGACAGGTGACAATGGAAGGAAAACTTCTTATAATGCTTTTTACTCAGTAGAAGCATAACTTTTATTGAAAAGGTCAAACTAGCAAGTAAATTCAGGCTGTGATGCAATATGATCATTAGTGTTGTCACAAAAGCATGATTCATTAAAAACTATTTTTTCTTATTTTAAAATTGTTAGTGTCAGTATCTACAGGCAACACACACCACCACATGACACTGACTTCGAGAGACAGAACAGAGGGTTTTTCAAATATAAAAAGCATCTGCTGCAAACGCGGGTGACTCTGGAGAAGAGGCTCTGAATGAAACACTCTAGGATTATTCACCCAGCACTGGCTGGGAAGCCTGTATTATCACAGCCTCAAGAGCTCGCTGTGCATAGGAACTACAAACTGAGGTTCCCCTCGCTGATTACAGCGCTCTGACAAGGGAGGGAACGCTGCTAGACCATCTGTTTACTGTGAGCACCGACCGATGGGGGCAGCAGCTCTGTGGGCTGCATGAGGAGGGAGGTGTTGGAGAAAAATGGGCGGCTAAAGAATCCTTAAATTGCATTGTTTTCTCTGAGGGTGAATTCCAAACAGATGCCCAATCACACTCAGCTTCTGCACACTTGGGGAAATCTGTATTTTAGATATGAAGTTTGTCATCTTTGGATGGATCATCAACATATCCAGCTTACTACTGTAATTCCAACATAACCTTACTTTATACTTCTGCCCTGCAAATACATCTAAATAAGCTGAATAAAAGTTATTCCATCGATGTAAACAAGCAGGAAGAATAAACTGAGCAAAAAATTTGTCCCAAATGTTGCAGTACAACAGCTGATGACTAATTAGTTACACAAATCAGTGTGAGATGCATGCCTTGAATGGTTCACAGAAGCAAATGAGGATGCTCTTCAGAACAGCAAGGACAAGGACGAGCTCTTACCAGAAACAGGTGCACACAGAAACTACATTAAGCACACAGAAAAATGCACAAAAATATTCAGCTATTACAGTCCTCATGACATGACCCTAAATGTATATGCATAGCTATAAGCAAGCTTGTATTATGCATGTGGTAATTATCTGTTTCATTTTTCATCTGAAATAAAACAGCCTTCTAGTAATGTTAGTGAAGGAATAGGGCATGGTCTGCAATAAGTAACAAGAGCAGGGACAAAGGGCATTGAATGACCCGCCTTTACATGTAGCACTTTTCACAAACAGCAGAGGGCGTCTCAACACAACACTCTTACTCTCCCAAATATATGGTGCTCCCTCTGTCCAACACGTTAAGAGCCGTTTAAAATCCCAGGGGATGCGTTTAACATTCACCCACGCACTACACTAGCTGTTTACTAATGTGTTTCAGCAAGACCCAAAACTTACGCTTGCGGCAGACAGGTGCTTTTTATAAAAGATGCTGCTAGTACAACTTTAACGTTAAACTGACAGCTGAACAGGAAATAAAAGAATGACGACAGAGCCACCCGATGGCACCGACAGACACGGCTGACTCGGGGTCAGGTGGGCAACACCCATCCAGGGAATGGCGCTCTTGCACAACCAGGAGTGTGAGGTCAGCGGTGGACAGCAAGGCCCGGAAAAGGTTTAAGGGTGGAAAGGCTATCCCAGACGCTCCAAGGCCCCTGTCCGCTACTAGTGTTTGCCTAGTGAGCCCAAAGAGCATGAATGCAGCATTTGGAAGCAAAGCGCTTCCTATCGAGATAAGCGCGTATGCTGCTGAAGGACATAATGAGATTAGGCTCTAAAAATACCCACTAGCTGGAGGCTGGGCTGGAGGTAGAGGGTTTGGGGCAGGTCGCACGTTCTGGAAAACCAGGACATGAGAGCATGGTCTAAAGAAGTGATGTGTTGTTTTCAGCAGGCTTTGGTTAAGTTTGGTCAGCTGGAAATAGCTACTGTACAACAAATAAGAAGCAGTGAAAACACTCAGAGGCAGGGGACTTCTAGCTGGTCTGGGACCAGACAGTCCAACTGGCCACTCTGTAGAGGTCCTCTTGCTCCAGCTGTCATCAGAATTATTTTTTTTTTCTCCCCTCCAAGGGGCAAGGAGAAAAAAAAAAAAAACGGGGGGAAACACAAGACACTTTCATGCCTTTTATCAAGCAGTATGTTTTGGTAGCTGTAATCCAATTTCCATCCATTTTCCAAACCGCTTATCCTTCTGGGTCACGGGGGGTCCGGAGCCTATCCCAGAAGTTACGGGCACGAGGCAGGGAACAACCCAGGACAGGGGGGGCAGCCCATCGCAGGGCACACTCACACACGCACACCTATGGGCAATTTAGTAACTCCAATTAGCCTCAGCATGTCTTTTCCCATTAGAAATAATGGAAACTCATATGATCCGTTCCACAACTAAAAAAATATTCATATAAAAATTATTAATACCAAATATAAAGTAAAAATACATAAAACAAATTAACTTGCGCTTTACCTTTGAAAAGAATCGTGGATGGTGTGAGGGAGACGAGAGAGGAGAAGAGGAGGGTTATTTTGTAGGACGACTTTCACTATAATTAACGGAATCACTGCTATCTGTTGGCTCACTGGAATCTTTTTCTGTTTGTGCGACTTTAACAAGGAACCCATCCAATGACAGCTGCTTTTGCCTCCTTTTCGATTTCGCAAAAATGTGGACATTGCATTGTCTTAAACAGATTCATCGCTCGCACTGCTACACCCTTATTTCTACTAAATTTTGACTATACGAGTGAGGCATGCCGACTGAGACTGAGCATGGGAGAGGATTACCCACAATTCCGCAGCGTGAGAAAGTGGTTCAGTTGTGATGATGTGCGCTCGGCATCAAAACAAGAAGCGCACGCATGCGCTTCCTGTTTTGAAGCCGAGCGCACGTAAAAACAAGAAAAACAAGGAGCGCATGTGTGCCATATGATTTTTGATGATACTTGGCGCTTGTAAACCAGGACTTGCTCGGTTTCCAATTCAAAATGTATTAAAAATCTTTGCTCGTCTTGCGGAACACTCGTAAACCGCGTTACTCGTAATCCGAGGTTCCACTGTATAGTGATTTGAAAACAATTGTTCAGTTTTTCCATCACCCCACCCTAATAGTTGGAATATACCAATCCAACCCAGGGTCCACCGGCAGGGCAGTGCCTTCACAACCCCTCAGACACAGCAGTCACTGGTGGTGCAAGAGAAGCCCTTCTCCACAAGGTGGTTCAAAAGGACCACACCCAAAATCAACAAGACAACGGAACAATACAGAGAAACAGGTTAATGCAGAAAAGCCCACACCAGGAGACAGACAAAACAGAGAGAGATCCACAGACCACTTGCATTACCTCGTGCCTCTTCTGCTTCTATGGTGGCTGTATAAGCGTGAGTAGTTGAGCCATGCCGAGAACGAATGGAGAAAGAGTGAATTAAAATATCAATGCAGCCAGAGACATCCATTGCATTCCAGGCTACCCCTGCATCACATCCCCCCAAATGCACAGAATTTTCCCCAGGGAAATTAAGCACGCAGAGTAGATCAACGGCTGCAGCAGGTCAAAAATAAGTATGTTCTAGATTAAACCCACAATCAGTTATTACAGGACAGGCAATTAAAGCCCTAGAGCAACTAGGTGATTTGCTGGAAACTGCATGTGTTATAAAACAGTATGATGTCTCGGAGTACCATGCAAGCAGAGAGCATACAGGACACTGATCAGGCACTTCCAGTCCAACAGGCAACCAATCATGCACATATCCATGCGGCACTTACATTCACTCTGAACTATGAAGCAACTTTTTTGTTTTTTTTTTTGTTTTTTTTAAATTGAACACATTCTTAGTAAGCATTAGGGCATATTTTCTGGAATGGTTAAGACATCATTAGCAAGGTGCTACATAAATCCTGATTAAATAAAGGTGTGACCAATAAGGCCTTCCAGCCTTATTACTGATGATTTCCTGAGAAGCAACCGAAGGAGACTGACTCCACAATCACGGTCAATTACGCTAGAAGCTCACCACCGCTCTCGCTGCTGCTGCGCTTTAAGCTTGTTAATGTGACCTTATCATCACAGTTTCAATGACAGGTGAATTAGACCTTGGTGAGTAGGGGAGCACGGCATGACGGAAGCAGCCAGAGGCTTCATACTTTCTCCAGCATTAATCCCATGTAAACAGAGAAATGAGGCTATCAGAAATAACCGTCTAAGGCGGCAAATGATCTGTGTGTGAGCACACATTAAATATTAGATGACATTTCCATCCAGACCTGACACAGAGGTGTTTTTTTTACCCTCCTGTTCCAGCGTTCACATACCATCTGACAACTTTATATCACACAGCACATTACTCCGGGAGGTCAGCATAAAGCTTTAATTTACATGCATGCCCAGATTAATGTGGATAAAAATAACTAGGCTGGCCCTGGCTGCTAATTAACCTGTAACATGCTGATCACATTTCACTTTATTCATTTATAATGACATATGAAAGCTTCACGCAAACAGTGAATTATTGAATAATGCACCACTCCTTACATTACTCCTTAGAAAAATAACAAACATTTTAGCAACTTTTAATATTAAATTTATATTTAGCTTTATTACACGTTGGTGCCGTTAACACTAGATGAGACAGTAAAACAAATTTCTGCTACTGGCCTGTAAACATCCTAAGCCATGCAAACCTAAGTGAAGCTCTCACTGCACCATCAACTGCACCTAAGTGAAGCTCTCACTGCACCATCAACTGCACCTAAGATTACTTCAGGACATTTCCTGGACTGGGTGGTGGTCAGGATCAGCTGGGGTTGAAACTGGCACTTCAGGTCATTCAGACAGATTAGGAGGACTTACCACTCTCCAGTGTCTGCCGACCTCCCGACAGCACGCCCATGGGCAGGGTCCCGGTGGGCGTCAATCCTTTCAGCTGCAGTACACTCTCGCTCTCCTCTCTAACGAGACAACACACATCAGCAGGGAGCACCGCCATTTACAGACACCCGTCTGGACTGCAACAAGACCGCTGCAAATCCAATTCCGGGAACACCAGGCAAGAGACTTTGGCAAGCGGCCTCCTACGTAGCTTCCAGATGAGAAGCTCAGGTCTCAGGAAGTGGGACGAGAGACCTTAATCCTGTGGATCTGTAACCACATCTGCTGCAGTTACAATGACTACAGATGCACATTATCAAGATCATTCCCACTGTATACAGCCTGGGTGCTTCATCTACCAAATTCTCTCCAAATCATGTACAAGGGAAGATGGTTGGGGGGGGGGAGGACAAGGCAGAGGATGCTCACCGGAGCACGGAGAAGACCCTAGCCATCTTGCCGATGGCACGGATCTTGTTCCTGATGACCTCCTTCCTTGCAGCTGGGGTGCCTCCTATCAGGAGCACAGCTTCAGTTAGACACTGACCTCATTCACTCCACAGGCCAGGGAATTCAACACATTCTAAGGAGCAGTGCCCATCTTTTTTTTCTGAGAAATGAAATTCAAGCCAGTCTTAGCCAAACTGAGCTCCATTAAATTGACTCCATTACACAGGGGATATTCTTCCTATTTGATGAACCAAGAACATCCTCCCGTCTCAGACTTTCACATGTGATGATGTGTGATATGTCCCATTAACCCATTAATGGCTAAAATAGGGGACAGTAAGATGGCAGCAGCTGCACATTATTTCTGGCTGCTCTCAAGAGTCCCCTCAGAGCTCCTGAATGAAATTGTGGATGACCCTCTGGAATGAATGTGTGTGGGAATTAGCAAAATTCCATTTTTAACAATTTGCACCCCCCCCCCCATTTAGTCACCCACTGACTGACTGAATATGGTCTTAAAACCACAGGCTTGCTCTGCAAAACACTACTGTTAAAAATGACATACATCCTCTGGCATGCTTGCTGTTTCCCACACTGTCTTTCAAAAACTTGCAAGACTTGGAGCACAATAACTGACCGAAAATGAGCATCGGCAGAATGTTTTGTCAATCAGTTAATATCTGCTTTGGTGGGGAGTCACTGGAGCGTAGAGTGCAACAGATGTTAGACTGGTCAAAAACATCACTGATGTTAGTTACAGCCTTATCTGTTGGGTATCTTGTTTGGTATGAAAAGTGTGAAGCCTGAACTTATTTCTCCCAGTTAGACCCATACCGCAATTGTTAGTGGGAAGCAGCAAATTAGAAAGCGTTAACATTCTTTCACACAGTTTATCAGAAAGATAAACTGATACGCTGGCTTGGGCTCTGCAAACAAACTTAAAAACCAAAATAATATTCACTGGCTACCAATCCCCTTGACAAGGCGCTCACTGTCAAAGCAACATGAAGCTACAGACACACATCTGTAATAAACTCAACTTTGACCTTATACTCCTAGCAGTGCTGCACACACTTCATGCATCCACGCACCTTGGCAAGATCCTTTTGGTAATAAAATGCAATCTATTGCAATCTACTGACATGCCAGCAAAATAGGAGGGCACAACAAACTGCTCAAAGAAAAAAAATAAATTAAACAAAACTAATATTTTATGTGGTACATATCTGCATACAGAAGAGGATATTATATGAAATGCAAAATATATATCACATAAATGGAACACGACAGTCCAAGTGACCAAGAGGTACAATAAAAAGTCTGTAACCACGATGCTCTAGCCAAGTACATCTGGAGGAAGAAGAGAAGCAGATTCACAATCACTCCTCCTCTCACTCTAAGCTATTCTTACCTTCCCCGTGGCCATCACATTTGAACAGCACTGTTATTGGCCAATGCAGCAATCAAAAATAAATGAGGGAAATGATTCGGTATCCTAAACCAAACCAAATTATTTAACCAAAGTATCAACAAATAACAGTTAGGCTTCACTTGCAGAGCTAGTATAAGTATACAGGAGATAGCACTTCCTGACTGTTTACCTGCCAGTGCGGCTGAGAGGCTGAACATGGTACGTTTGCGATGGGAAACACAAACACTGAATATAAACTAACTGGACAGCAAGAACAAAAAGACTCTGAAGACAGCATTAAAGAACGGTAATGAGAGGAATCAGTAAAGCGGGACTCGTCTTCCCACGTTGATGACGTTGAATGGATTTACAGGAGAAATGTAATGGTAATGGTAATGGTAATTAAACCAGATATACAGTATTTTTGAACCATGGTTGGCGAATCAAACTGCTTGTTTTACCCTCGCATGTGTCATCTCCCTCGGACATGAGTTCATCATCAGAGCAGATGTTCAGGACGTTCACCAGCATCTCCGTCACTGTGAGGAAAAAATGAACAGGAAATGAATTAGCTACACAACTGTATCTGTACTGTCAAATATACTCACTCTCTCTCTGACACACACACACACACACACACACACACACACACACACGCACGCACGCACGCACGCACACGCCCAATATTATTCAAAAGAATGCAGTGGTTTTGTGGCTAAAATATTCCTGGGCTTCAGTCTAGAGTTAGTCTAGGATATAAATATCTATTAACTCTTTTCCAGTCCATAAAGCAGTTCATATTGCATCTCAGCATCCCACATATGGAACTATGCTAAACATTTACTGCATTTCTGCAAAGTCTAAACCATTTACCACTGTTTACAATGGCCTATAAATTTCTTTGGACAGTACAAAAATAAGAGACCCAGATCTGCGGACTCCCTCTGTAGCTCCTATTCATTATAGTATAGCATCAAATGCAGTTTCCCCAAAGCACACAAAGAAACAAGTCCAGCATAACAGCTGTTAACATCACTGTTTCAAAGTTGGGAAAATAAGAGCCAGAATAGATACTCAACTCATACAGGAATAAATTAACTGGCGATAAAATGGCAAAAGTTTGCCATGCACACTTTCAAAAAGCAATGTTCACCTTTCTCTCCTACAAAGGGCAGCGACCACGTGAAAACATCCATGAAGTTGGGCAGCCAGTATGGGTGAGGAGAGCAGTTAAATTGTCGGATGTTCATTACATTGTTCTCATACTTCAAAACAGCAGCTGTTGAGACAAGGAGAGCTATTACCAAGCGGTGAAAGTCATAAGTGACTGTGCAGCTTTGGTTCAGGTTTGTGAATAAGTTATCAAGCCCTGATAACCCTGCTGTTGATCTAGTGAATGCTAATTCGTATAGAAGTATTCTGGGGCTGGGCAGGATAAAAGAGACAGAGTTCAGCCAGATGGTGACCTATAGCTAGGTGGCTCAGGCATGATACACATCCCAACCAGCAATACACCGCAGGCATGATACACATCCCAACCAGCAATACACCGCAGGCATGATACACATCCCAACCAGCAATACACCGCAAATAAGGCATCATCACAGGGAACACAGCAAGACCATTAGGCAGCACGTGGTCCTCTTCGGGATATACGCAAATAAGGCAACAACAACTCCCTCCAATTAGAAAAATTCAGTAAAAGGGCACCTTTATGTTCTCGTACCTTTGTTGTTATACACGTCTAGGTAGTTTGGTGCTGAAAAAATTGTGATTAATGAGGGAAAACCGGTTGTCTGGCTTTTTCTGTACATTCGATACCTAGAAGAAAGGGAGTGAGAAAGAGTATGTAAAAAAAAAAACACTGATGAAACACATGGCTAATGATAATTCCACATATAGTGAAATGCAAAATGTATTAATGGCCAGAGGAAGAGAACCATACAATAAATATATAAAATAAAAACTTTTGTTTACCCCGCATCCTGAGCTTCATGTGCTCGTATTACAGACAACAAATTGTTGTTTAGCAAAAAGTCACATACTGCATGATAGCTGCAAGGCAAGAAAAGCACATTAAGAGAGATGGACGACAAAGTCTCATAAAACCCACATTTCATGTGTTTTGAATTTTGCCCGACAGCCATGTAGTAAGGGCCCTGCAAGGGAGCAATTAATATTTTTTGATCTTGCTGACCCTACAATTTTCAGAGCATGGTTTTATTTTCTTTTCTGTGCCATGGTTTCTGAGGCACGGGCTAATGATCTCCTGTATCAGGAGTTGGAGCTGGAGTAATGACTGGGTATGAACGATGCTTGGGGGGATAAAAGACCACATTAAACAGAGAGAGTATCTGGTGCGGTGGTTGGCATTGAGAGGGGTGTTCTCCCAGCTGTCCTGGGGGCAGCTCCAGCAGTCAGAGGACCACCTGCCTTTTGCTAAGCTGGCAGCTCAGTAGGGCTGCAGCATGACGCAGCTGAAAACAGCTCAAAGGGATTTCCCCCACCACGGCTTACACTACATAACACAGGGCACAAGATTACCAGGATTTCCCATTCACACAAGGCTAAATCCTGTCCACTGTAAAGCATGAACCATCAACAATAAAATAAAATATCCATTTAAAAGTACGGTTAATATGGCAAGGATAACACAATAACTGCAATGAGAGATACATATGACTTGTGTGGTTTTTTAAAGTTTGAAAACTATTACTGTGTTCTGGACAATTTTGTTTACCTGATGAAATGTTTTTTTAATGAGGAATTAAATATTAAGGTGACTGAGACATTTAGCAGTGCTTATTTAGAGCAGGTTCACACAGGCTGACACGGTCATGGAGGTCAGATATGACCCGTACCTGAAAAAATAGGAGCAGCCTCTCACAGAGTTGTGGTTGAAGTGTTCAGAGGTCTTCTCGCTGCCATAGTCCTCTCCAGGGTCTGACCACAGCAGGTCACACATGGGCCCAAACGCCGGTGGCTCCTTGAACCTGTCCAACTGCAAAATGCAGCTTGGCCTGACTCCCTAGCACTTGGTGTTCTCAGTGTCAAAAGCCGATCCCAAGTTTAATACAAAATCATACAAGTCGAGAATTCCTACATGATTTTAAAGCTGATATTGCCATTTTACAGGCTTTCTGGAAATAAAGGCATATCACACAGTATGCCATGTTAACTGCACCAATCTGGTGTACCCATCCATGACCTGAGCAAATAACTGGTACTGCATAAACGTCAGCACATTCTGTCTGAAATGACAATTTTCATAGAGGTGAAAACCGAATCTAAAATTCATTCATAAACCTTTAACTTGAGCACCATATCCAAAATTCAACAGGTACACAAGCAAACTCCTTGTGTGGGGGGAGGTGGTCCTGACCGCGAGACACATACCTTTCGAATGTCGTCTAGGCAGGTGATCTCTGGAGACAGACCTCCATGCACACAGAGAAACTGCTGGTTAAGGAGGGCGGCAAGGGGCAGGCAGTCGAAAGC